CCTTCCTTCTTCCTTCCTTCATCCCTCCTCCCTCCCTCCCTCCCTCCTCCTTCCTTCCTTCCTTCCTTCCTTCCCCCTCCCTCCCCTCCTTCTTTCTCTCCTTTCTCCCTCCCTCCTTCCTGTCTCTTCTTTCCTTATTCCATCCCTTTTTCCTCCCTCCCTTCCTTCCCTCCCTCCCTCCCTCCCTCCTTTCTCTGTCTCCTCATTCCAACAATTCCCTCCTTCCAACAAACATCACAACACACACAGCCAGCCCCACATTTTGGACTGGGGTCCAAAGGAGACTCAGATCCTCCCAGAGCTCACAGCCCAAAGGGCAATCCACTGCCACTGTCTGCGGGACTCCCCAAAGGCATCTCAGAGGAGGTGATGTGCCTAAAGGGTAGGAGGTAGTCATGGTGATGGGGGCAGGTGGTGGAGGGGTGGTTGCCTAGAGAATGTCCCTGGAATCCCCACTCTGTGCCTATACCTCTACCTATCCTTTCTCAGTGAGTTCTCACGCAAACAGTACGAGGTGGCCTTGTGGCTCCGATTTTACAGTTAAAGGAAATCAGTATTTAGAGAGGGAAGGTGACTCCCCCAAAGTCACACATGTTGGACCCAGGGGCAGAGGTGGGATTCAGACTCAGGCCAGACTGTCAAAACGCCGCGTTCAGTCCACTGGAGAACTTCCTCTGTCTGGAAGGGTGTCCCAGGCTGGGGGAACAGTGGGCCCAAAGGCACAGGAGGATGAATTGACACGGGAGTTTGAAGAATCATCGGTGGCTCTGAATGTTGGGAGGGTGCCTGATGGGTGGGGGCGGGGGCTGTGGTGGGGCGCCTTTATAGGGCTTGACAAGGGCCAGGTAAGGACAGGCCTGAGAGTCAGGCTAGGGAATTGGGACTAAGGAGACACTGAAGAAGCACCCAGGACTCTGGAGCCAGCCATGGGGGTCTGAACCCTGACCAGGCCACTTACTGCTGTGTGACCCTGAGCAAGTCCCCTAACCCATAGGACTCCCTTGTGTGGCAATGATAACTGCCTATTTTGTGGAGTTGTTCGGGGCATTGAGGAAGTATAGTGTTCAGCACAGAGCCCGGCATAGATTAAATTGAAAATCATTCACATTTTCTTTCAGAAAGCTAAGGACTGGGGCTGGTAGGGAGGTGGGGAGTTGTCAGGAAGCCCCAGGAAGGGTGGCTTTGATTTCTAGAAGAGAAGTACAGATGCTGAGGGAGACTGAGGGGGACGTTGAGAGGGGGTTGGCCAGGCTCTGGGATCCCCCTCCCCACCGTGTCCCCTGTTCTTGCCCAGGAGCTCTAAGGAATAGGGGTGGGGCTAGGTACAGAAGACAGAGGTCAGAGATGCCGAAGGTCACCCATGGGC